AGACAGACAATTAACAACAGGAAGCAATCAATGCTTAATGCTAAATTATGCTCAACACCAGGAGAAAACCAATGACCAGAACCCTATGTACCCAAAACATAGCATCTACTCACCACATTCTGCTTAGTTGTGATTTCCAAGGTTTGGATGACATACAGTCTGTTGCGACGTCGCATGCTTTCTACTTCTTCAAATCGGATATCACCATATTTCTAGTGAAGATGAAGGTGCTATTTTACTGCTTATCAGGACTTTGTGCCTACACCACAAAGCAGTCAAGTTCTTCAGTGTTGAATCTTTTTCAAAACTATTATTATTCCTATCCCCCTCCTCTTCTCCTCCATAATCTTCATCATCATCACCACTCCAAATCTTATGAACCTTCTTATTTGAAGTTCCAGACATTCACAACAGAAGGCCATCCCTTCTAAGATGGTATACCACAACACAACTATAGAGATTCTCAAGCCATCCAGGTCCCAGTTGTCCCAAAGGTGCTTTTTTTTCCAAGAGGCAACTGGACTTTCTTGGTTTTTCTTTGAAGGCTTTTCACTTCCCACCCAAGAAGCTTCTTCAGCTCTGACTGGATTGTGGGGAATGTCCTTGCAGACAGCTGGTCATTTGCATCCTTTGTTAAAACTTAAGTCGTTGAGGCCAACCGTCCCAAGAGAGTTGAAGAGGCTTCTTGGATGAGAAGTCTTCAAAGAGAAACCAAGAAAGTCCAGTTGAGAAAGCACCTTTGGGACATACCATAACACACAGATGTGAGGTCCACATTTGAAGAATTCAAAGACACCCATGTACACATGTACAACCATTCAACAGCCCTTAACACTGGTACACCACAGGGTTGCGTGTTGAGTCCGTTACTCTATACTCTTTATGTGCATGACTGCATTCCCATTCACGCTAGTAATACTATTGGTAAATTTACAGATGATACAACAGTGTTGGGACTCATCTCTGGGGGGAATGAGTCTGCCTACCGAGATGAGGTAGACCGGTTGCTTTCGTGGTGTGGAGACAATAACTTGGTCCTCAACACCAATAAGACCAAGGAGTTTATAGTGGATTACAGAAGGAACAGATCAGACATCCAGCCCTTGAGTATCAATGGAGACTGAGTGGAGCAAGTGACCAGTTTTAAGTTTCTGGGGGTTACCCTAAAAGAGGACCTGACCTGGGGTGCCCACATTGCAGCCCTGGTCAAAAGGGCCCAGCAGAGATTATATGACCTGAGGCTTCTCAGGAAACAACAATGAATGAAAAACTGTTAGTGACCATCTACTGGTGCACCAGAGAGAGTATCTTTACTTACTCCACCTCTGTATGGTTTGCCAATTGCACAGGGGCAGATAGGAAAGCACTCCAGAGGGTTAAGGTCATTGCCCAGAGGATCATGGGTTGCCCTCTCCCCTCTTTGGAAGAGCTTTATAGCTCCCGCTGCCTTAAGAAAGTTCAAAACATTCTCAAAGATCCATCTCATCTTGGACATTTTTTTTTGAACTATTACCATCTGGCAGATGGTACAGGACAGTAATAAAAACAAGAACAAATAGGCTGAAAAACAGCTTCTATCCCAGGGCAGCAACTCTATTGAATTCTACTGCATAGTGTAATATGAATGCAATATCAGGGGTTTTCAGTTTAATTGTATAGAATGTGAAGGATGTGTGTTTGTGTTTATTTTCATGGTCATGATGTGCACTGAAGACGGTGTTTGATTCGTATGAGGTGCAATGACAATAAACTAAACGAAACCTCTGAGACTGATCCAGTGGCTTCAAGGCTGCAGCTCCTGACTTCCACAACCCTTTGAAGCAAAATGCAGATGGTCACAGCGACCATCCTGATGAACTCAGGGAAATATATTCCTTCGTATTCCCTTTCCCCCCACTTTTTTGGAACGAAGGCCTTCAAGAGGATGCTCAAGGCCAAGCATCGATTCTCTTCTTCTAAGACAAAGGCGGGAGGTGAAAGGGTTAAACAAACCTCGTTGGACTCTCGAATTAGGTCTGTGATGTCCACTTTGGGGTGGGGGCTTCTGTTTTCGTTCACCCCAGAGGCCTGTTGAACCGCTGGAGGCAACGGACTGTCCTTGTTGGTCACGCTCTCAAAAAACCTTGATTCGAGGAAAAAGGGTGGTGTGAATGCGTTCCCTTGCACACATTAACTTCCTCTGGGCACATACATATTTATGGGGCAGTTTGGACAAGTGGCTAGGGCACTAGGCTAAGAAAATGGGAGAGGGTGAATTGTAGTTCTATCTTGGATGTGAAAGCCAGTTGGATGTCTTTGGGCCGATCACCAGGAGACTGGAAGTTCTAGTTCTACCTTAAGCATGAAAGTCAGCTGGGTGACTTTGAGCCAATCACCAGGAGACTGAGAGTTCTAGTCCTGCCTCATGCATGAAAGCCAGTTGGATGACTTTGAACCAATCACCAAGAGACTGGGAGTTCTAGTCCCACCTTAGGCATAAAAACCCACTGAGTGATTTTAAACCAATCACCAGGAGACAAGAGTTCTAGTCCTGCCTCAGGCATGAAAACCCACTGAATGACTTTGAGCCAATCATCAGGAGTCTGGGAATTCTAGTCTTGCCTCATGAATGAAAGCCAGCTGGATGAGTTTGAGCCAATCACCAGGAGACTGGGAGTTCTAGTCCCTCCTCAGGCATAAACCTGGCTGGGTGACTTTGGGCCAATCACCAGGCGACTGGGACTTCTAGTCCCGCTTTCTGCATGAAAGCCGGCAAGGTGGCTTTGGGCCTCTGTTTCCTACCTCACAGGGTTGTTGTTGTGAGGAAAAGAGGAGCAGGAAGATGTGTTAGATAGTCTCACTGCCTTCTAAAAATAATAAAAGTGGAAAACAGACAAACAAACAAACACACCCATGCCATTGCACAACAGGTAGCCCAACCCCTTAGCCCCGAACCCAAAACATGACCACAACCAACCCACAACCAGCCCTCGCCAGCACCTGCTGAGCACGGTGACTGCTTCCGCGTCATCCTTACACGCCAGCAACTTCTCCAGGTTGTAGTCCAGCACGGCCAGGCCCAGCTGCAAGATGGCCTTGATCCCATCGTAGAAAAAGCAATCGACCGCGTTGACGGCGCTCTCGATGGGCAGCACGCTGACAAAGAGGGTGAGGAACCAGGAGAGGGAGACGGAGGAGAAGAAAGTCATGTCGGTCGTGTGCTCCGTCAGCTGAGGTAAATATTCGCGGATCAGGTCCTCAAACACGGCCTGGTCGACCAAGGCGCCTGAAAGAGACGGATGGTTTAATCTCGTAGGAGCAAAGGCGAACTTATACATATATATAAATTTTGTTTTATCTCTTCTTGAATATACATTAAGTGCTTAATATACAGTGTATTCTCTGAGTCAATTTGCTTACACCACATAGTAAAATGGTATCATAGTAATCATAATTCTAACAGTATTAATCATTGTAATAATAACCTTTGTTTATAATAATAATCTTTCATCATTTACTTCTACATCTTAGTAATCTTTTTGCCTCTATTTTCTACCGCTTTTATCTAGCCACTGAAGGAACAAATCTGTCAGAGAGTTTGCAGCGTGTCTACTATTCAGACAACCCAGGAGCAAAACACAAGGCACAGAGACAATTTAACAGTGGTTTATATACAACAGTTGTAAACAGAAATGTATGTGGTAGGCAAAATAACACTCCACAGGTGGTCCTCCCTCAACGACCGTTTTTTCGGCGACTGAGATCCCTTCCTGCTCTGTTCTATTCTGTCTCTGCTACCACCCCTCATGAAAGCGACCGTCACAGTGAAACCCAATGAAAACGGTACCGATGATTCGGCGGTTGAAATAGTCGGGCAGCATCCGCTCGCAGACAGCCACCAGCAGCCAAAAGGCTTCCTCTTCTTTGGCGTAAAGGAGCAGCACCGACGTCAGTATATTCATGGCCTTTAAACCAACATGGATGTTAATTATTATTATTATTCTTCGTTTGGCCTTCTGTCCTTTCAGCGTCCCCTCGCTGACATGATATTCGTGCATCAATGATTACGGCCACCGCAGGGCGGCTGCAGTGTTTATGAAGACACCTGGGCAAGAGCATATTTAACAAATCCCCATTTGTTACGCTGAGCAATATTTTTATCTGGTTATGCAAACAGCCATAAATGTGACTTTGTTGCTGAGCCCTTGAAATGCCATCATGTAATCAATGGTGGGTGTTTGTGAGAGAGAGAGGGGAGAGAGAGAGAGAGAGAGAGAAAGAGGAGAAAAAGAAAAAGAGAAGAGAGAGCAGAGAAAAAGCGAAAGAGAAGAGAGGAGAAAGAGAGAGAAGAAAATGAGGAGAAAGAGAAAGAGGAGAAAGAGAGAAAGGAGAGAGCAGAGAGAGAGAAGAAATAGAGGAGAAAGAGAGAGAGGAGAAAGAGAAAAGAGAGAGAAGAAAGAGGAGAAAAAGAGAGAAGAGAAGAGAAAGAGAGAGGGGAGAGAGAGAGAGAGAGAGAAAGAGAAGAAAAAGAAAAAGAAAAGAGAGAGCAGAGAAAAAGCGAAAGAGAAGAGAGGAGAGAGAGAGAGGAGAAAGAGAGAGAAGAAAATGAGGAGAAAGAGAAAGAGGAGAAAGAGAGAAAGGAGAGAGCAGAGAGAGAGAAGAAAGAGAGGAGAAAGAGATAGAGGAGAAAGAGAAAAAATAGAAGAAAGAGAGGAGAAAAAGAGAGAAGAGAAAGAGAGAGGGGAGAAAGAGAGAGAAACTTTTGGTTGCATGCAAGGAAAGCAGCAGAAGCCGCAGAAGTCTTTCTTTCTCTCCCCCAAACTCCACCAGAAATGAGTCTTTGCTGCGCAGCCTCTTGGCTCATGAGGCCTTGCAGGGTTCCAAAGTCTCCTTTCTAGCGGAGTTTGGGGGAGAGAAAGAAAGACTTTTGCTGCTTTCCTTGTGTGCAACCAAAAACAGAAGCAGAAAGAAGTGGAAAGAAGGAGCCCGGTGGCCAGGCCAGGTGTGTGGGGTGCGTGGGCCAAGTTCCCCCCCTCCGCCCTTCCCCCCTCCCCTCACTACCTCATGTTGTTCGCAATGCAAGTGACGCAAGTCTTGTGTTCCCGCAGGTCATGTGGGTAGAACAGCCTTGTGTTCCCGCGCAGCCTGGATTAATTGCTTTGGGGGTGACATTTCTCTGCGGACCACCAAAATTTTCTCGTGGACTACCAGTAGTCCCCAGCCTACTGATTGGCAACCACTGACTTGGACAACGGGAGCCAAGTTGGAAACTGGAGGTGCAGCCTACCTGGCAGTAGCCGATCTTGGGGTTCCGGTAGGCGTAGGCGGTGAGGACTCTCCGGAGGGCCGAAATGCCCGTGTCGCTCTGGAAGGCGGGGTGCTCGGGCAGCGAGCGCCGCAGGTCCCGCTCGATTTCGTCTGTCTCCAGGGTGCAGGTCCCAAAAGATTTTTCTACCAGCTCCGAGTAGTAGCCGGGATGGCTTGCCATGTCATTGACGGCACCTGGACGGGGGGGGGGGGGGGGGGGATGTCAATTGCACACAGGAACAAGAACAAGGCTGTGGTCAATGCATCTCAAATGCCCCAGCTTTGCATCGATTGGACGGAGAGGGAGGTCTCCAAACTTGGCAACTTTAAGACTTGTGGACTTCAACTCCCAGAATTCCACAGCCAGCTGTGAATTGAGCTGGACCCGAAGGAGAATGGACTCCCCCCACCCACTCAATGTTGACTGTATGCGACCTGATGGGAAGGATCATCTGGAGATGTTCCTTCAAGTCTACTTGGGGACTATTTATGTATATCATCATCTTCTTTTAACGACCTCCATAATCCCTTGTGGGGTGGAGTTTGGGTAACTGAATGGAGCTAGCAGTGTGTTTACTGGCCGGATGCCTTCCTGTCACCAGTACAGAGTTTTGTTCAGCAGATATATTGTGCTCAGAGAGGAAAATATCTTCCTCTAATTAGAATTGAACTCACAGCCTCCTGACTGTGAGGCGAGAGCTCTACCTCTAAGCCACTGCACCACTCCACCGAGGAAGGCAGTATATAAAGGGAGTGATCTACCTCATTATTCCAAATATGGACCATACCTGAGAACAGAAGCCAAAGTTCTCCTCTTAAGACTTCAGGGATTCCTCGGAGAACCAAGTCCCGGGTTTTCCTCGTCTGAAACATACTCACGCCCCGTCCGCACTCTATGAAAAGGATGTTCCAGGATTGCTCTTTCATTTTTTCTTTTAACTAATGGAACAAGGTGATCAAGAGGCCGCTTGAGAACGATCACAAAACACCGGGAATGCCATCAACGGGGTTATATTAAGGTTAAAATTCAATGAGAATTTTTTTTTTTATTTTAAACAGAGAAAGAGAGAGGCAGAAGAATGCAAAATTAAGAGGCTCTATCCCGGAATTAAAAAAAAAAAAAGATGGCTGCAGACAAAATGTTACTGGCAAGATTAAACACAGGCTTACGACCATAATTAAGCCCGATGCTAAGCAAGACATTTGTTAAGTGAGAAGTGCATGGGAAAAAATTTCATTTTAATGTATGCAGATTAATGTATGTTCAAGTGACAAAAAAAATTATTCTATTCTGTTCTGTTCTGTTGTTCTACTCTGCTGTACTCTACTGTGAGTTTTGTCAAATCTTGAGTTTTGCCGCTCCGTATCAAAAGGAAAAACTCAGCAAAGCACAAGGAAAGTGAGATATCACAACAGGTCTTGATGTCTTTAGAGATTCTCCATCATCATCAGGTCATGGTTGCCCCAAAAGTGCTTTTTTTTTTCAAGAGGCCACTGGACTTTCTGGTTTTTCTTTGAAGAGGTTTCGCTTCTCATCCGAGAAGCTTCCTCTGCTCTGAGAGAAGCTGACGACGCTTCTGAGAGAAGCGGAAGAAGCTTCTCAGATGAGAAGCGAAACCTCTTCAAAGAAAAACTAGAAAGTCCAGTGGCCTCTTGGGGAAAAAAAGAAAAAAGCACATTCGGGACAAGAGATCTTGCTGTTGATGAGTAACCAGGATCCCTTCTTACCATCTTTGAATCCAGGTTCTCCGCATCCTGAGGGTGAAAGACGGTCATCAGGGCTTCTGTGCTAACCGTGGTGCTGCTGCCTTTGTGGCTGGCCATCGGCTGCCCCTCGAAGTCCTCCCAGACGGTGGTGGTCTCTGAGCTAACCCTGGCCTGTGAGAGGCATTGGAGGAAGCGAAGGTGTAAAACTTTGTTAGAGAGAAGAAATGCGGGGCGTAAATCCAAACAACTAAGGATTAAAATCCTGCAGAAGGGCAGGCCTGGGCGCACAAGGGAGGGTGGGCTCCCTTTTTGCATTTTACAGTGCTTCCCCCTCCCCTCATTTCTTCAAAAAACTGGTCAGCCTCTAAGAGAAGTCATTATATGAGCCATGGGGGCGCAGTGGTTAGAGGGCAGTACTTCCACTGTCTGCCGGCTGACTGCAATTGGGCAGTTCAATTCTCACCAGGCTCAGGGTTGACTCAGCCTTCCGTCCTTCCAAGGTGGGTGAGGAACCAGATTGTTGGGGGCAAGAGGCTGACTCCATAAACCGCTTAGAGAGAGGGTTGTAAAGCACTGTGAAGTAGTATATAAATGTAAATACTATTCCTTCCTTCCTTCCTTCCTTCCTTCCTTCCTTCCTTCCTTCCTTCCTTCCTTCCCAGTTAGAATGCATTATTGTACACTAACTCTGCCCACTGCAAGGAGTTTGATCCTGACCAGCTCAAGTTGACTCAGCCTTCCATTCTTCCAAAGTGAGTAAAATGAGGACCCAGATTGTTGGGGTCAATAGGCTGACTCTATAAACCGCTTAGAGAGGGCTGTAAAAGCATTGTGAAGCAGTATATAAATGTAAATGCTATTCATTCATTCATTCCTTCCTTCCTTCCTTCCTTCCTTCCTTCCCTTCCCTTCCCTTCCCTTCCCTTCCCTTCCCAGTTGCTAGAATGCAGTATTGCACACTAACTCTGCTCACTGCCAGTAGTTTGATCCTGACCCGTTCCAGGTTGACTCAGCCTTCCGTCCTTCCGAGGTCAGTAAAACGAGAAGCCGGATTATTGGGGAACAAGAGGCTGACTCTGTAAACCACTTAGAGAGGGCTGCAAAGCACCGTGAAGCGGTATATAAGTCTAAGAGCTATTGCTATTGCTGTTTGGTTATCCAACTGACCTGATTTAATGGATTCACACAACACTCTGAACCCAACAAAGAAAGAGACCATCTAAGCCAGGAAAAGCAAAGGAAGAAACCATCAGAAACGTAACCTAACAAAGATGAATCTGTTGTGTGAATATTGACGCAGAGGTTACTCTAACCCCAACGTGGTTAACTGCCCTGAGCAAACACAGCCCAATTTTTGGTAAGCACAGTAATACTGTCCTTATTTAGACCCCCCCCCCCGAATGGGCTCTTGAGAAGCTCTCTTTGTGGGTGGCTGCCCTCACATCTGGTGGCAGAGAGTTCCACAGGCCTCCAGGCAAAGAAAAGAGAACTCTGATCCATTGGGCGCCTTTTCCAGGCACCGCAAACAAGGGGTAGCTCTCAGGGCTCTAACAATCCACCCCCATTCAAATCACAAGTCTCTAGCCGCATCTCTCAGAGTAAAAAAAGATTGATTTATTAGGAGTTGGCAATATTGGCATTTCCTGGTTGCAGCCGACTCTGACACATCATTAATTTCCCCCTTGACCCTGGTCTTCCCCCACCCCCTGGATGTATCTTCTCCAATGGGACACATCCATAGCCAAGAGTCATCAATCATGCTCTCCAGTAATAATCTTGTGCGCCAACAGCTTCGGCTGCCAAGGTGATTATCTGTGGCATTTAAGGAATGCACTGCTTTCCCCCATTCCCTTTCCGCTGGCAACTAAAAAGACCAAAGGAGTATTTTTTAGTTGACATTCAGCTCCCCTTACTTCTTGAAGGTTACCTATACAACACACACACACACAAACCCAAATTTGTTGCAGGTATAGAACTTAGGGTTGCGAACCCCCTTACCTCCGCACTCACGCTGTGTTGGGGGCTTGGTGCCGCACTGCACCTGGTCCTGAGCTTTTCCACCAGAGCTTCAAAATCCCTCACTTCCGAGAAACGGAAAGTCCGCGATCCTTTAGTAGCGACAGTGATGGCCTTGCAGGCGTGGTCAGCGACCTCAACTGAAGTGATCTGCGGGCGTTGGGAAGGAAGAGACTACGGTCACCCTCTCAGGTGGCCACTAGACCGAGAACCTACAAACTCTTAATGGACAAATGGATGCATCTCGAATGGCCCCATCCTTTCAGGCTATGCTGGCTGGGTAGCCATGTCTAAACTTTGAAAACTGGCCTTTCTTTCTTTCCTTCCTTCCTTCCTTCCTTCCTTTTCCTCTCTCCCCTTTTCCTGCCTACCTTCATCCACTTCCTTCCTTTCCTACCTCCCTGCCTCCCCCTCTTCCTTCCTTCCTCCCTTTTCCTCCCACTGTTCCTCCCCCTCCATCCTTTTTTCCTTTCATCTTCCCTCCCCTTTTCCTTCCTCTGTTTCCCTTTTCCTCCCTCCCTCCCTCTTCCTCCCTCCCTTCCTCTTCCTCCCTCCCTTTTCCTCCTTCCCTCCCTCTTTCCTTCCTTTCTTCTCTCCCTTTTCCTCCCTCCCTCCCTTTTCTTCCTTCTCTCCTTTCCTTCCTTCCTTTCTCTCCCTTTTCCTGCTTCCTTTCCTCTTCCTCCCTCCCTCTTCCTCCCTCCCTCTTTCCTTCCTTCCTTTCTTCTCTCCATTTTCCTCCCTCCCTCTTTCCTTCCTTCCTTCTCTCCCTTTTCCTGCCTCCCTTCCTCTGCCTCCCTCCCTCCCTCCCTTTTCCTCCCTCCCTGCTTCCCTCTTCCTTCTTTCCTCCCTCCCTTTTCCTCCCTCCCTTTCCTCCCTCCCTTTTCCTTCCTCCCTTCCTCTTCCCCTCTTCCCCTTTTCCTCCCTCCCTCCCTCCCCTTCCTTCTCCTCCACCTTCCTTTCCTTCCTCCTTCACCATCTCTTGCCAGGAAAAGCCATCCAAGGTTTGGCTCGGATGTTTGCAGGGAGCTTCTTCTCCGCTCACCTCTCTCGTGGGGAGGATGACACAGCACAGGCAGCCATCTTGACTGGCGAAACAGACGTAGTTCTCCGAGAGGCACATCTTCCCCAGGGCGTGGTAGTGGCTGAAGGGCACCCACAGGAAACACTCGTGGACCTCCCGCAACGTCTCCTCGCTGGGCAGCCTGAAGAAGGCGTTGAACTGCTCGCTATGGGCCCGGTTCTCCAGTCCTCTACGGGCCCCAAGAGAGAAGAAGGCCTCTGAACAACGTCTCTCCTTGACGGCATGACCGTCATTTCCGATGACCGAAACGCCTTCGTAGTTCTTTCACCCCAGTTTGGAAAATTGGCGTTCCGATTTGCAAAATTAGGTACGGGTGGGCCTCGACTTAACACGTTTTGAGCCCAATGTTTCTGTTGCTAAGCGAGACCGTTGTTCAGTGAGTTTTGCCTCACTTTACGACCTTTCTTGCCACTGTTGTTAAGTGAATCACTGCAGCTGACAAGTTAGGACAGGAGTTGGCAACCTTAAATACCCCAAGTGCCACTTGGACCCGTTTCCCACAGAAAAGGAAACACCGGGAGCCACAAAACCTGGGTGGGCATGGCCAACTCAATGGCCACCGGCTATGCCTACCCATGTTTTGTGGTTCCTGGTGTTTTCTGTGGGAAATTGCGCTCTCTCTCTCTCTCTCTCTTCTGTTTTTTTGTGTTTTACCAACTGCCGGAATCCTGACAACTGACCTCTTAGTGATTTGCAAGGGATCGCAGAGGACCGGGTCAGCTTCGAACCCCTCCTTGTCGAAGAGTCTCCGGACGGCGTAGAGAGCCAGCTGTTCCATGAGGAGGAAGGTCTCACCCAGGTGCAAAAACATGGAGAAGTAATGGTCCTCTCCGTGGGCACAAACATGGATGCTTTCGGTCAGGATCACAGTGGAGGTCTTTTCAAGTTTGGAGATCTCATCCCAGGCTATTATGAGCTTGACTGCAGAGGGGAGAATAAGAGAACAACGGAGTTGTTGGGAGGGACCTTAGAGGTCTTCCAACCCAACCCTTGCTCAAAGCAGGAGACTTTGTATCTCTCTGTAGAGATCCTCAGTCATCCAGGTCGTGGTTGTCCCAAAGGTGCTTTGTTTTTTTTCAAGAGGCCACTGGACTTTCTGGTTTTTCTTTGAAGAGGTTTCGCTTCTCATCCCAGAAGCTTCCTCAGGTTCTCTCAGAAGCTGCTTCAGCTTCTCTCAGAGCTGAAGAAAGCTTCTTGGGTGAGAAGCAAAACGTTTTCAAAGAAAAACCAGAAAGTCCACTTGCCTCTTGGGGGAAAAACAAGTACCTTGGGCAGTGGTGGGATTCAATTTTTTTTACTACTGGTTCTGTGGGCGTGGCAGGGAAAGGATACTGTAAAATCTCCAGGCAGAGGTGATATTTGCTAGTTCTCCCAACTACTCAAAATTTCTGCTACCGGTTCTCCAGAACTGGTCAGAACCTGCTGAATACCACCTCTGACCTTGGGGAGACCCTGGACCTTCCAGCAAAAGTTAGCCCAATCTCTTCTTGAACACCTCCAGTGACGGAGCACACACAACTTCTGCAAACAACTCATTTTACTGATGAATATTTCTAACTGTGACCTACACACCACTGTTTATCTGGGTTGCGCTTTTCAGGGTTCACTACCCAGAGACCATATAGACTTTACCTGAAGCAATCAGGAGGAGATGATGTGGGGTTCTGGGTGCATTCTGGGCTTTGCGGTTTTCTTGCAGACGTTTCATTACCAAACTAGGTAACATCATCAGGGTTCGCTTTGACTCTTGTATACTAGTGGCTTCAAACACCATTGATGTAGAGTTATACGAAGGGTGAGAAATTCTTGGCAACTCTAAGACTTGTGGATTTCAACTCCCGGAATTCCCCAACCAGCCATTAAGACTTTAACAGACTTTAAGCCAAGACTTAAAAGGGTAAAGTTGGATATCCCTGATCTATGGTTTAATTTTCTTCCAATTATGTATTTTTATTCTTGCTTGGCTGTATTTTTAACTGCTGCTCACCGTCCTGTGAAGAGATGGGCGGCCATATTGCTTGAATAAAATAAATAAAACCATGCCTCAGTGAGTGATCTTACTTACTCTCGGCTCCCAGCAGGAACGAGTAAAAGCTGAGGAAGTTGGTGCTCAGATAGAGCCAGCCTTGGCAGGGCACCCGGCCCCTCCAATAGCTACATGAGTAGTAAGTCACGAGTTTCTCCTGTTCGGCCAACCCAAAACACTTCTCAAACTTCAGATGGGCTTCACGGAACTTCTCTGGATCTTCTTCTCTTACTAAAGACCCTTTACTCTCCTCAGCAATTAAGCCCTGAAAAACAAAAAGGAGACAAGAGGCTAATAAACATGAGCCCATCGTTTCCAAAAGTAATCTAACTAGTGTGGGAATTAAAGTCCATTTGCCAAAATTCAATCGCCATCATGGTCTCCATTATGAAGCTACATGGAAGTAGGAATGTTGGAAATGTGCTAAAAAAAAACCAGGCACATACTACTACCTGTGGTGGTCATGCCCCAAAGCAAGAAGGTTTTGGGTGAAAATACATACGTGGTTAAAAAAAAAATTAAGGTATCATATAGATTTTAAGCCGGAACTATTTTTGTTAGGCATAATACCAGAGAAAAAAAATATGACGAAGAGAATATATATTTGATATGGCCAGTTTTAACGACGGAAAGAATTGTATTTGTGCAACAATGGAAAAGGGGGAAAACACCCGTGGAAGAAGATATAATTAGGAAAATATTGGACTGTGCAGAAATAGACAGATTAACACTGAAGATAAAAGAAAAAGACATAAGATTATTTTCAAACTTGGGACTTGTTTTATCAATGGTTGGGCAACAGAAGTAGAAATTAGGAGATTGGGATGTAAATGAATTGACCCAGCTAGTACACTGTTCGTTAAGCACATATTGTATGAACCCCCCCGCCCCCCCAATAAATCTATCTATATATATATATAAACGCGAAATGCCACTCATGCATCATCACAAAATTTCCAGAACTGTAAAGCCTACAAACTTGAAATTTGGCACGTATGTTCCTCTTGGCTTCTAGGTGCTCACTAAGAAAGAATTTTTTGAAATGACCATCAGAGCAGTTGAGCTAAAAAAAATGAAATTGAATAAAGCAATCCTGTTTTAGGAGAATAAAACAATCTTGTTTTAGGAGATTTAGACTGACGCCTGTGGAGATGCTCCATCACTCAGTTCAGGATCGTCCCAAAGACTGTTTTTTCCACAAGGCAACTGGACTTCCTTGATTTTTTTATCTCCCTGGAAAATGTTTTGTTTCTCATCCAAGAAGCTTCTTTGATTCTTAGGGAGTGAACACAAACGGAAGAAGCTTCTTGGATGAGAAGTGAAATGTTTTCAAAGGAAAAACACCCCCGCGAAGCCCAGTTGCCTTCTGGAAAAAAAAGCAGCTTTGGGATTTAAATGGATGCTAGATCGGATGTGCCAAAATGGCACAGCAAACTGCATCATCAGGGATTTAAACTGTTTATCTACCACTTACTCCCTCTTTCTCATTTTAACATTTTATTAGTTGATAGAATAAAATACAGAAAGACAAGGAATAATGGATGGAAACTGATCAGGGAGAGATTCAACCTGGAAATAAGGAGAAATTTTCTGACAGTGACAACAATCAACCGATGGAATAGAAGTTGCCTTTGGAAGTTGTGGGAGCTTCATCCCTGGAGGCTTGAGGAAAGCCCCTGCAGGCTTTGCAGGCCAAATAATAGGCCCGCTTCGTCATTTCCGGTATTACAGAAAGTAATGAAACGGGCCTAATTATTCGGCCTGCAAAGCCTGCAAAGGCTTTTTTCAAGCCTCTGGGAGGCTGAAAAAAGCCTCAAACCAGCTGAAAATCAGCTGTGAGGCGCGCACATGCGCAGTGAGGTAAATTTGCCTGCAGCTCACGTGCCGGCACAAATGGCTCTGCGTGCCTGGTTCACCATCAAAGGTGTAGGGCCTCCTGCTTGGGCAGGGGGTTGGACTAGATGACCTATAAGGTCCCTTCTGGCTCTGTTAATCTGTTAAAATCTCATCCTGAAGTGCCCCATGATGTGCTTTTACGTACTTGAATTTTCCCATGCACAAAGCTTACGATGTCCTCATTGGAGTCGAAGACGGAAAGAGTATCCATCACATTACGCTCCAACCATTCCCAGTGTTCTGTTATCTCTTCTCGGCTGGTTCCTGAGTGACAAAAAAAATTGTACTTTAATTAAAGATGTTTGACTCTCATTTCTGTTGTTGTGGTGGGAAGACAGGAAGGAGGGCGGAATATATTCTCAGTCCAATATTCTCCAAATTATGTTTTCATCTGATGGGGTGTTCTCATTTTTTCCAATAGTGCGCAAATGCAATTCCCGCTGCTCTCAATACGTGGAACATTTAAGTACAGAGTCCCCTTTATCATAACTTTCTGGCATTACACCTAACGAAAGTATTTTTGTTAAAAAAAGAAAAGAAAAAGAATTTCTTGTACTTACCGCACGCAATAGACCAGTAAATCTGGGAATCCGGAGTCTGGTGCAAGATACGGAAAGGGGCCACTTTCGATGTGGAATCCAGGACGGCGTCCAACGTCCCAACCAGGAGACCTGCCAGATTAAGGACAAAGTTCAGGGACCCCTTCTCAAGGACAGCGTCCCCCCCACCCCATGGGAAGAGACACGAGGGACTCCATGACCCGGAAGGACAAGCGGCGAAGGAATCAGGGATGGGGTTCTGACCTAGAATTCCTTAGAAAGCATAAAAGGCAATCTTCCTTCCGGCAAAACTTCTTTTTATTCCCACGGCTGTGAATTACGTTCATTCCCAGCCCGCCAGGCTTCACAAATAGCCTGTCAACTCATAAAATATTTCCATGGTCTTTTTCAGAGTTGCGAACAGAAAGGGAAGGGGTTTTGAAAGAGCAGTGCGGCAGCTTGGAAACCAAAAGTGCATTCCATAAATAGTTTTTTGAAGATAGTAACTAGGTGACTGAAGTACCGGAGACGAACACAGGGGACCCCCCTCCACCCCCACCACTGAAAAGGAGGGGAAAGCTGGAAAAATTTGGATTTTTGTTCCCCTTGCAATCTTGTCCCACCTTGGAACTTACAGCTGGTCCCTCAAACTTACGACAACGGAGGCCGCAAAAGGTCCATGGTTAAGTGAGACATTGGTGAAGTTTATTGCTTACTAGCAGGAACTGGGAGAGGGATCTTGGAGTCTTAGTGGACAACCAACTAAATAGGAGCCAGCCGTGTGCAGCAGCCGCCAAAAAAGCCAATGCAATCCTAAATTGCTTCAACAGAGGGATACAATCAAGATCAAGGGAGGTGGTAATACACTCTATAAAGCCTTAGTAAGACAACACCTAGAGTACTGCATCCAGTTTTGGTCACCACACTATAAAAAAGATGCTGAGACTCTAGAAAGAGTGCAGAGAAGAGCAACCAGGATGATGAGAGGACTGGAGGCTAAAACATACAACGAACAGTTGCAGGAACTGGGCCTGGCTAGTCTAGGGAAGAGAAGGACCAGGGGAGACAGGAGAGCACCTTCCAATATTTGAGGGGCTGCCACAGAGGAGGGTGGTGGTGGTCAAGCTATTCTCCAAAGCACTTGAAGGCCAGACAAGGAACAACAGATGGAAACTGAACAAGGAGAGATTTAACCTGGAAATAAGGAGAAACTTTCTGACAGTGAGAACAATCAACCAGTGGAACAGCTTTGCCCTTGGAAGTTGTGGGAGCTTCATCACTTGAGAATTTCAAGAAGACATTGGACTGCCATTTGTCATAAATGGTGTAGGGTCTCCCGCTTGGGCGGGGGGTTGGACTAGATGACCTACAAGGTCCCTTCCAACTCTGATTATCTGTTATCTGTTAAGTGTGTTTCGCCTTGTTTTACGACTTTTCTTGCCACCTTGTTTGTCAAGGCTTGTTAAGAGAATGTGGCTTTCCCCATGGGATTTGGCTGGTCAGAAAGGGATTGCTAAGAAAAAAAAATCAGTTTTTTTTTTAAAAAATATAAGAAACAGATAAGATTTGGTGAGTTTCTAACTATTCATATCCAGGTCCCATCCCTTCCGTCATTTATTTCTGCATCACAAAACAATTTGTTGACTTAAGCTTAACGGTTCATTGGGCGTTTGCAAAGTCAAATGGAAGATGACAGAACCGGTCTTGTAAAAAGGCTTTGCAAATACACACCCAGGAGGAGGGAGTGAATCAGTGGTTAAGAAAAGCAAATAGCAATTTTTTTAAAAAGTCTTTGGAAATTTTGGAGCCAGGCAGATACTGGCTTAGTTCAAAGAACCGATGCACATCACGCTAAAAACCTAATAAAGAAATGAATATCGTTTTCTCTGGCACATGCCTAAAATTCGCAGGGAGAATAGATCTGTGGCAAAACCAAATTAAACTATACAGGTGGTCCTCAATTTAACAACTCTCTTAGTGACCATATAATACAGTAGTATTGAAATTACAATACTTTCTGAGACCATAATTAAGCACGCACTTAGTCCAAACAACTCTTTTTATTTCAATGCTGGGAATTATGTGCATTCCCAGCCTGTAATGAGTCCCAAACAGTTCCTCGAGATAAGCACCCACCCTTCTCTCCTTTGAATGGCTGCCAACAACTAAAGTGCCAAATTAACTGGAAAAAAAACGACCAAGGTACAAAGTCCACATAGAGCTTCAAGGTTTAATCCGAACAGAGTGAACAAAGTTGCTTCCTGCAAAGGCTCCTGTCCCTTTGCTGCTTCTTTATGTCTTATGGGAGGGCCAATCACCTCCAAGCCTTACTCCTGAGTTGCCCCTTTTGTCTTAACTGTTCTTGCCTTCGGGCAGCTCTGTGCATGTGCGCACTGGGAACAGGCTCCCCTTGTTCCTCTGCCTCGCTGCTGTCAGATTCTGGAGGCTCCAGAGTCTGCACATGGTCCTAGATGGCCCTGGCCCCATCTCTGCGTCAGACGCAGGGCCCTCGTCTGAGTCCTCCCCAGACTCACGGACTGGCCCATGTTCCTCCCTATTGTCTGACTCTGCTGCCATCTCTGCAGGCTGTTGGCGGACCACAACAAGTACGGGGAAAAAGTGACTTATAATTGTTTTCCACACTTATGACCACTGCACCATTCCCATGATCATGTGATCGAAACTCAAGACGCTGTGCAGCTGACTCGCATTTCTGACGGTTGCAGCGACACCCGATCCCCTTTTGTGACCTTCTGACAAGCAGAGTCAAGGGGCAAAGCCAGATTCACTTAACATCTGGGTTCCTGCAGCGATTCACTTAACAACTGAGGCCAGCCAGGTCGTAAAACGAGGCGAACCTACGGCACGCACCCCCAAAGTGCCATGCAGAGCCACCGGCCCAACAGCTGATTGTCAGGTATCTGGCACACATGCACGGGGGAGGGTCTTGCATGCATGCACAGGTGGAGGAGGGTGCACACATTGCCTTCTGGGTGTTGGCGCACAAGTGAGCGCATGCAAGCATGCACACAATTTTCAGCACGGGAGATGAAAAAGATTAGCCATCACTGGTCTAGGGTCTCCTGCTTGGACGGGGGTGGGGGGTGGGGAGGTTGGACTAGATCAGGGGTTGCCAACCTTTTGGACCCCAGGAACCACCAAACTCATAATTTTAAATCCCGGGGACCACTAACTGGTTCTGTGGGCGTGGCCTAATTTGTGGGTGTGGCTTGGTGGCCATGTGACTGGCTGGGCATGGCTTGTATGTAAATATTATAAATATTTATATCAATATTGATTTTTTTTTTGATTAAAAAAGATCAACTTTTACCCAAAATCAGGCAAAGCAGGCAGGCAGTTTGAGTTGCTCACAGGATCACAGATTCATTCAGAGATCTATCTATCTGCCATTGGCTACCTCAGTCTGTCACATAAAATTTGCTTGCAAGCAAACTCACAAAATTAACTCACAACACACCATGTATGTAAATATTGAATTTTTTTTTTATTTTTTATTAAAAAGCAACTTTTATCCAAGATCAGGCAAAGCAGGCAGGCAGATTGAGTTGCTCACAGAATCATTCAGTCATCTATCAATCTGCCATCGGCTAGCTGAGTCTCTTAAATTGGATTGCCGTGAGTCTGCGCTGAATAACAGAACCTTCAGTCCTAAGGGAGGTTCGGCTGTGCTTAAAAGCAGAGCCGAAGATCTAAAGACTAGCCAGAAAGCAAGAAATCCAACTATGTCCTGCTTCCTAGCTAATCTAAATCTCCCGGCAACAGCAGAACAGATGATGGTCAGAAAAAGGAAAAATAGCAACTTAACAGACATGTTTGCTGGGTAAGGAGTGAGTGGATGGGGAGGGTTTCCGCAGGCCATGTGGGCGGCACAGCCTGGATTAATTGCTTTTGGGGGGCTGCTCTGGGCGTGAGATTTCTCTGTGGCCCACCAAAATTTTCTCACGGCCCACCGGTTGGCGACCGCTGGCCTAGATGACCTCGAAGGTCCCTTCCAACTCGGTCATCTGTTAAATTTACAGGGTGGATGTTGGGTAGGGAAATAAACGGAAGCATTATATATACATAGCCTGGAGCTTATACAAATAAAATCCGGCTATATGTCTAATGGTAAATAAATTATGATCCGGGGGAGGAAAGGATATGAAAGTCCTCGGAGAATAAATATCTAACGTCACGTTTCGACTGTAAATATCAATTTAGTCACAGGGGTTTATCGCTGTCTCCTCCTGCAATATTAAAAACGATACTTCAGCTTGGGAAACGCAAGTTACCGAAAAGTAAAACGGATAAAAACTGAGTCTAAAGATTCTTATTTTGCCCCAGATTAACAGAATTGTTTTCTTGTCTCCTCTCCCAGATACTTCTCAAAGGAAAACGGAACATAGGAAGGACGAGATGAAATATATGTCATAAAAAAAAAGCCAACATGAATACCTTTGCATCTTGCAGGACATGAATTATGGAAGAAGAGAGCCTGCAGGGAAATACGATCGCCGCTGACTTATCACTGGCTGGAGAGAGGTTTGTTAAATCTGCAGTATTAGTCATAAAGAAAAAAACCTGTGACTCAAAAGCAGCAACCTTAGCTAAATTGGTTTTCCCTCCTCCTTTGGCGAAGTGTCCTCTGGAACGAACAGCAAACGGTTAGGAACCTGGCTTTGGAAGAGCCAAGGCCATTCATATTTCAAAGGTCGGGGAAGGTGTGTTTACTTTGCAAAACCTCCAAAACAGTGGCAGGAAAGGAAAAACCAAGAACGTATGTGAGGCATTAGAAAGCTTCTATTCCATCAAGCCAAATTCTGTCATCTTTATCCGACTTTATGTAGAGATTCTCAGTCATTTAGGTCATGGTTGTTGTTGTTTTGTCAGGAAGTAACTGAACTTGTTTTTTTTTTCTTTTGAAGAGGTTTCACTTCTCTTCCAAGAAGCTTCTTCAGCTCTGACTGTTCTCTCTACCATCCTGTCAGAGCTGAAGAAACTTCCTTGGAAAACCTCTTCAAAAAAAACAAGGAAGTCCTGAAAAAAGAAAAAGCACCTTCGGGACAACCTGGATGACAGGGAATCTCTACAGACTTTCAGCTTTGCAGTTTGGGATGGACAGCCTTGGAACGGTGTGGGAGTAGGAATGGATTCTGAGAACAAGTCGGAGACTAGATGAACCATTCGCACCACTCAGGTGACTCTGAGGACACAGGCAAACCTCCAAGTGGCCTCAGCGACCCTCTAAAAGGATGCAAATGACCAGGTCTGTCTGCAAGGAATATAAATCCTTCCATTCCCCAACCATCTGGTTAGAGCTAAAGAAGCTTCTTGGAGGAGAAGCGAAACGTCTTCAAAAGAAAAAAGCCAGAAAGTCCAATTGCCTCCTGAAAAAAAAAAAGCACCTTTGGGACTTTATCTGACTTATGAGAAGCAATTGGTCAATTCTGCATCTTGCTCAGGCTTGCAAAATATACCTTGCTTTAGTAGCCTGCTGAGAGAGGGAGAGAGAGATGGTCAAGGCTTCAAAGACGAAAGGAGATTGTTGGATCTCCGCCTGCTTCGTGGTGAGCCACCCAAGTAGCTTTCCTCACCAGTCAACTCGAGAGCTTCTCCATTGGTTTTCTTCTTCCTCCAGGACTTGGTCCATTTCTCTGACTCCTGTGAATTTTTTTTCCCTGGTGATCTTGCATTCAACCAAGCCTGCTTAACTTCTTGAGATGGTGGCGTGTGGTTGGGAAGGACCTGTCCGTCGGAAGAGATGGGAGATTCCTTGGTTTTCCCTCTTCTGATGTTGACATATTACCTAGGGCATCAAGCAAGGAAGCATCCTTTCACAGAACACCTGGGAATGGTGGCTTCCAAAATACCGCAGAACGAGAAATGGAGGCGAAATGTGGATGTCATTGACCTTTAAGCAAACGTAACCCGTTCTTCACTGAAGGACTCTGTAGATAGAGACTTCCGTTTCTGTCCTGTTCAGAACTGCAGCAATTTTTGGAGTCCTGTAACCACTGGGCAACATCTGGCAACCTTGGCTGAACTTGGATTGGATTTCGTGAATGGGAAATACACCTGCAGGCTGTAGGCTAGAAGTTCAACTGGGAAATGGAAGAACCCTCAGAAGGAGCTAAGAGGAAACAAACTATTTATGTGTGGCCACCTTGAAAACTACAAACCATGAAATTACCAGGAGCTGAACTGAATTTGTGGAATTTTTTATTATTATTATTTTTTTAGAAGGAACAGCAAGGTTGGAAGACTGTGTACCTCTTCTTGATGCGTTCTACTATGTTTGTATGCAATCCGGTTCATCCTTCTACATCACCTGCCAAGCAGGGCACAACACCTTCCTTCCTCCCCCTTTCCTTCCTTCCATCCATCCATCCCCCTCCTCCTCCCTCCCTCCCTCCATTTCCTTCCTCCCTCCCTCCCTCCCTCTCCCTGTCCATTTCCTTCCCTCCTACCTTCCTCCGTCCATTTCCTTCCTCCCTCCCTCCCCCTCCTCCTCCCTCCGTCCATTTCCTTCCTTCCTTCCATCCATCCCTCCGTCCATTTCCTTCCTTCCTTCCTTCCTTCCTTCCTTCCTTCCTTCCTTCCTTC